GAGTCACAGCCTTCACAGGCACTTTAGTTTATTGTGTCAGTGTGAAGGAGCAACGACTCAATGAGTTACGAGCGTTTAGGTGAGAACCCAACAATGAGTTACGAGCGTTTAGGTGAGAACCCAAAACCGTTTCTTGGCCTTGCAGCTGTGTTACGAATGACTAGTCTCATAGACAATGCACATGCATTGTGAGCTGAAATCTATAGTGGTTGCATGTATGTCATGCACTAATAATTATTGGATCATGTTTATGTTGCTTACTAAAAAATAAATTCTCCTGACTATAATCACTGTCTTTCAAAGACTGCTCTGCACCTGTTTCATACAGCGAATGTCTGTGGTTCATTCAAAGGAAACCTTCAAGAATGTAACTGCCTCTTTAAGACTGCCTGTGTCTCATCTCACCTTATTTGGACATACATCCTGTCAGGTGACAAGAGTGCAGTCACATGGGCTGCTATGAGAATGCACAGAAATTCCAGAAATTTTCTATAGATACCTTCGATGTGAGAAAATATGTGGGGGTTGTGAGGCCAGCTGGGGGGGGTTTACTTTATATAATGTGGGAATGCAGAAACTGACAATGAGGCTGTCAGATATGAGATATGCTGTGTGTAATCAAGTAGAATCCTTTTGTAAAACCTTCACACAATCATTCTCATTTATTTCATAAATCAACAAAAGGCTTTCTTCCAATTTCTCAAGAGTAGGTCAGGTTGGTTTTCGTTCTCCAGGAAAGATGTGCCAATTCACTGAGACATGCAGTATAGAATACTATAATAATTGCAAATATATTTTAAAACTAAGAATACTCTGAATTCTTAGTCAATGAGCAATCTAAATCATCAAGCAGATAGAAGGTACCTTCTTAAATTGTCTCTTTTTTTAACCATCCATCTGTAGTACTGTTCTTCATTCAGCCTTGGAGGATTCGTCTGTCTACCATCACACACTCTTTCTCAATGTGGTCATTTGCAAAAGAGAATGTGGCTGCAGTTTTAAATGCATATTTCAGCCATAATAAAACATGCTGTACCAGCTTTAAATCTAATCATATTTATAGCATTTCTGCACTGGATTTACATTTTACATAATTATTGTAGCAAGAACGTCTTAGATGACATTTAAGAGTCGCCTAAATGTTACTCACAACACATGGCCTCTTTACATGCATTAAACTAAGCATTTTTGGCAGTGGTTGTGGTTTAAGGTTCTGATCATCCTTTATGGTGAGTGTACTGATATTCTAGCTAATATTTACAGACTTGGCCATTGATTGGCTGTGACGGTTTTTTTTTTTTTTAAGATTTGATATTATGTAATTCTTTAAGGAGCAGCATTTTCCCCTAGAGGTACTAGAAACGCCCACATGCACTCACACTCTGGAAGCTACTGACACAAACACATGGCATAATGCAAGCATGTAATGCATGCATATACGCACACTCTTGGCCAGCTACGTTACAAATTCCTCTATGGAGACCATGGAAGTCTTCATCCTATATAAGAATGTGCTGTATAGACAAGGGGAGCAGAGGGAACAGGGGTGGTCGCAACATGTGCCCAGTCATGTGTGCTGTGATGAATATGCTTGCATAGCCTTTTTTCAGCCACCAAGCACCACCCGTACGCTTCCCATTGGCTTTGGCAATGTTTGCGTGTGCTTCTCAGATCATTCTGGTCTCGGATTGGCCTTCCTCCTGGAAATCGGAAAGTTTGCCGGAATAGTATATCGTGGTAATGATGTGAGTTACCGTTGCATATAATTAAGTGTGGCTGAGCCTGCTGTTTTTGCCTACTGGTGGGGTCGGAATAGAATAGTGTGCAGTGCTTATTAGAACTGACTCAGCCACAAAAACAAGCAAATTCACACGTACATAAACAGAGAAACACACACACACAAATGTCTATGCGTGCATATAGTCACATTAGAAAACAGTCAGTTGGCTTCTAATGTTCATACTCAAGCACATTTGATGTTATAACAGTCTAAAAGGCCTCTGTTTTGATTCAGCTATGAAATTGTGTAATTTCAGAAATCCTTTTGAAACCCTCAAATTGTGGATCACCTGGGTAACTTGTAATCAAATTTAAAAAATGTAATGCTGCCTTTAGGAATGGAGATCTTCATTTCTATACATAAAGAAACAATAAAAACAGGAAATTGTGCAACTCAACATTCTATAGCTACCAAGGTTTTCAATAAGCAAAATTCTAAAAATGGTGCAGTTAATTTGATGAATGAATTTCTGGATTTATTAAGAGCAGAAATGTCACCAAAAACCAAGATCTCTTTCAAGTAAAGTTTGTTCACTCGGCGGCCATATTTCCAATGCCTCTGGACAGCTATTTCGGCATCCAAGACCAAGTCCTATCTACTTGAATGGGAAAATCCTGAAATCTCAAAAAACTGGTTGCCACACTCGTATTTAGATAACAGCAAGATAAACTGACATGAGTTGTTGTTGGATAAATGGTGTTTATTATGCGTTTAAAAAGTGTTAAAATAGCTTATATTGTGCGTCTCAGGACACTGATTGTTCTATAGCAACCAGAGCTTCTAATGGCAGCTGCAGTGATGCTATGATTTTACCAATTGGCGAGTGGCTCTTTTATTTATAAAGTGGGGTTTATATTGCACATTGCACTTTTTCCCATTCATAAGAACAATGAGTGCACCGTCTTTGAAAATATAAATTCATTTTAATTCATTGTTTTATCCTTTGAAGTAAAATCTGCTTCTGTCTTTGATGATGCACTATTTCTTGGAGTTTATCATCAACCATTTACATTTTTTTCATAGCTAGTTTTGTTGTGTATAAGGCTGGGCATACAGTGCAAATTTCCTCCGAATTCTGACCTGGCCACTCTTTTTTTTGAGTCTGGCAGAATTTCAGCTTTGTTGTGCATCGATTGTCTTGCAGTGTTCATGCAGTGTACAGGGGTAAACGAGATAAACCTCTCCAGACCGGCAATCGGATGGTCGGATGAATTTCTGGCATGTCAGAAATTTTGGTCGTCCCTCGTGAGAGTAGCGCTCAGTTGAAGCAGAGCTACGAACCGATTGCCCAAAAACTCAGTGGTTTTTTCCCTCACTGCACCTGTGCGAAAACAGAAGTTAAACCATTTCATCAAGAAAGAAAGTGAAAAGAGGGAGATCTATAAGTTCTACCAGAAAGACTCGGGAGAATAATACTGCAACAATTAACCATTTATTAACAGCCCAGCAAGCAATATTATGATATATTATGAGTTCTTTGGTGTAGGCCCCGTCCGTAGCTCGCAATCTGAGAGTACGGACTCTGCATTTCCTGCCTGAAGACGAAGCCAGGGGCGCAGCCGACCCCCGTGAGGTACGGGAAGGGACCATCCTGGTGGTGGTGGTGGTGGTGGGGAGGAGGATGAAGGGTAAGGAACTGTCTTGTGGTGGTGGGGAGGATGGAGGTAAATGGAAGCGTCAGCATCTGCGAACTCAGACATGAGCAAGTACCAATCTTTTATACCACAAGTATTAGAACACTATTGGATAAGCCCCTTTCACACAGCGCTTTGAAAACCGGCAAATTGCCGGCAAATTGTGCCTTCTGTGTGAACGCAAACACAACCCGGGATTGATGCCGGGATCGATGCCCGGTTGGGGACCTAGTAACGTTGCCGTGTTCAGACCCGGAACGCGCGCTGTGTGAACAAAAGCCAGAACCAATGCCGTATAAGGGGTGTGTCGTAGTGAGGATTCACGAGCCTTTGCAATGACGTAGTTATCGTGCGGCTCAGTTACTCTAGAAGAAAGTTTGTGTTCGTCATCGATACAAGAAAGAACGAAAAAATGTCTGCAAACTGGACTGAAGTAGAGACCCGTCACATCCAACGTCACACGTCTTTCCGGAACATACACGGGTTGTGTGTGTGAACGCGCTCTCTGATTCCGGCAAATCACTGGCAGTGTGAATTAAGCAAAATCAAACGAACCCGGGTCAAATCCCGGGTCACTTTATCCGTGTATTTTCCGGGAATCTCTGTGTGAAAGGGGCTATAGATGAGAAGGTAATGAGTGACGTAACACTTGAGTCTTCCCGCCAGAACCTATGCTAGAGCTTCATTTCTGTAGCTATCAAACAAGCTGCAATTTAGTAAACTGTTGCTTACCTCCAGTTCGTGTTGCAAACAATTATTGCAAATTAATTGTAATATGAATTTTAATAATGAAAGTAGGATAATAATAATAATAATAATAATAGTAATAACAATTTAATAGGCCTACATAAATTGGAAATACTAACCTCTTCATATAGATAGCTGATGCTTTTGACAATATCTATGGATACATGATATCATGTTCTATCGGAGGAACCCTGCACGGGGGTTTATCGGTCATATTTCACGTATATAGTGTGAGCAGACAAGTCGGGCTCGACGATCGGACTGTATAGTGTGAGCACATAAATCATGAGCTTTGGTTTTACATCGCATGCGATTTACTCGCACATGAGTTGGTAACCTTGCTGAAATCGCATAGTGTATGCCTGCCTTACGTTGCGTGGTTTAGTTAATCCTACAGTGACTTGACAAATGAACTTAATACACAAATGGATTAAAACATGGTCTTCCGTCACCCCCTTATGTACTGTAGCCCGTCTGCGGTATAAACCCTCGAATCAGGTATCCAGTCTTTCTTACAGTAAAACCTTGGAGCTGAATAATGTGCTCTCTGCATCTCAATACGGGCTCTGTGTGCTGGCTGATTTTCGAGTGCGCTGGCCCTTTAAGAGCAGTCACTTAAGCAGTCAGTCCTGTTTTGGTGCTGCTGCTGATGGCTGTGCTGTGAGTTGATTGGCTGTGGCTGTCAGGGCTGAGGTGCTGGAGGGATGCTGCTACTCTCTCTCTCTCTCTCTCTCTCTCTCTCTCTCTCTCTCTCTCTCTCTCTCTCTCTCTCTCTCTCTCTCTCTCTCTCTCTCTCTCTCTCTCTCTCTCTCCCTCTCTCTCTCGCTTGCTTGCATCCCTTCGTATAATCCACATCTAGGGCAAGCAGGCTGAGAGTCAATCCAGCGCTCAGCTCCTCTCTGCAGGCTGGGAAAAGAGTGAGAGAAAGAAGGCAAGAAAACGCTTCCCAAAGCAGGAGGAAACGCAGAAGGAAGAAATCTGGCAAGCAGAGACTTACAAAGGAAGATTTGATCACGGATATCATTTATATATATAGAAATTGTTTATATATATATATATATATATTTGTACACACGCATATAAATATTTATAGAATTATATATGTATACATATATACCTGTATATAACTGTATTTGTGCTTGTCTGTTTATATTCATATTTTTATATGTAATTGTGTGTGTGTAAATATATACATATATAAACAAATGAATATATATATCTATGAATTTATATACATATCACTGTGAACCAACAGAAGCAGGAAGAAAACTCGACCATCGGGGCTGGTCTCTGATTCCGAGATCATACACACTATTTTTAGCATTATTTTTCCAAACCTTTTGCATCGACTGGAGGAAGACTACCAATCTTTTTCTATTTTTCATCTCCCTGTTGCTACCTCCTCATCTCTTTTTCTGGATCGGGAGGAACAAAGAGGAGGATAACAGGGTTTGTGAAGATTCCTGGCATTTGTGCTACCGTTCCGTGAGCCGAGTGGCACTGCGCGCGGTATTTGATCTGAGCAGGCAGCAGCAGCAGCAGCAGTGAGATAGAAAGAGACAGAGAGCGCCGCACCGTGTGAACTAGCCAGCATGCACAAACATCATCACTGCTGCAAGTGCCCAGAATGCTATGAAGTGACCCGCATGGCCGCTCTGCGCAGGATGGATGCCCCAGCATATGGAGACTGGCAGCCCGAACCCTATGGATACCCGGCCGGCTATGGGGGCGGCCAGACCTTACCGCCCCAAACCTCGGGCGGAGGAGGGGGAATGAGTGGAGGGGGCACTTTGGGGAGAAGTAAAGGGAAAATGATGTCAGCTGGGGGTCCTGGAGGCCCCAACCCCAAGAGCCAATCCAAGGGCGCCCCCAAGGTGAATGGTAACAACTCAGGAGGGCAAGGAGGATGGTGGCCCGAGTGCACCTGTTCCAACCGGGACTGGTACGACCAGGTAAATGCCGTTTCTGGGCCGCTGGGGGCATCGAGAGTAGGCAGCAGGCGGTAGGCAGTTGGTGTATGTGGTTGCTAGGTCGAAACTTAGTAGGATCAGCAAGCTCCCCTGTAGCTTCTAGAAGATACATAGTTTTTAAGGGATTCATCCAGTGTTGATCCTTTCATACTGCATGTGCTGTAATCTTACAGTATGCCTGTCGAGATTGATTCTCGCAGAGAAGGAGTTTAATCTTCATGTATTTACTGCTCCATCAGTGCTTTATGGCTTCATCAATCCCCTACGTACATACTTATCTAAACCGTCATCTGACAAGGATTGACAGGGCCGCTGTGACCACGCAACAAGTGAATGTAGCTCTGCCAATTTAATCCAAGGATGGCAGTGACCTGCCAACGCTGCTGACCAGGCAAAACACATCATCAAATGTAATATCCAATTAGTAATAGATTCTTATTCTAGATTGGTGAGATGAAGGATGTGGATGTTTTATGAATCTGATGACGTGTGTGTGCATTTTCTTATTCATTTGCAGTCTGTTGTTCTAGTCGCTGATTGAGATACAGCCAGAGGCGAGGCGGCTTATGAAGTATAATGTACACTTCTTGTCCGTGACCATTTCAGCTAGATTTTAACCTCATAGAGCAGAGCGTATCAAACCGAACCAGGGAACAGAAGCTGTAATTAAGTGAGGTGTGTGTGTGTAAGTGGCAGCAGGGGTGGGGGAAGGGTCGGTCTGAATGTATAAAATGGAGGAAGCAGGCTCTCGTGTGAGAACAAGCCCGCATGCATGCTCTGTGCCTTCAATGTGTGTGCATGTCTACGATGTGGGGGTGTGTGCGAGTGCACAGGTTTTTATTGGTATTTGTGCATGGCAGAGGGAGAGAGAATGCAGCGAGAGTGGTGGAGACGCAGAGAAAATGGAGGGTGAGATCTCGGTGGCAGCGAGGGTGAAATTTCACCAAGCGCAGGGAGGGAAGGCGTGAGCAAGGAGCTGACTAATTCTGCCTCTGTTCAGAGGATGGGAGAGGCATCAGTCAAAAGCAGTGCGGTTTTTCACTCATTCGCTTTTGTTTTAATAATGAATTATGCATGTGTTCTTGGCAGCATTTGCTGTAAACCAAATAAATGAACCCTTAAGATGTGACATTTCCTGCTTATTCTTTCTTTCTGTGATAATTTCATTCTCATGTTTGATGTATGACATGCAGCAATGTGAAATAAATCAAGCATATATCTTCTCTTGTGCACCGCATGCAATACCTGATAGGCACGAGCACTCATAGGGCATATTGATGGAGTGTATGTTTAATTAATGAGAAGGAAATTGTTCAACGGAGGTATGTAGGACAATGGCACTATTAAAGCTTCTCGTATGTGAGGAGGAGACCATGGATCATCTTTGCTGGTTTCTCCTTCTCTGGCCAGGCTGTTACCTGTCAAGATTATTAAAGAAGTTTTAGTTATCTTTCAAGGCCTCGTGTTTTTTTTTTTTCGTGCTTCTGATGTAAATATGAATGAATTTCGTTGAGCAGTAAAAAGGGTGTAGAATGTTCGTCATTTTTGGCAGTCATCACAAAGACACGTGATAGTGGTGGTAATAGAGGTGAAAGTGCTAATGTGGAAAAGAGAGGAATCAGCCAATGAAGACAGGCGGGCTGAGGAAGCAGAGTGGGTTACATAAGAGAAGGCAGTTGGTTGGTGGAGCCGCAAGAGGAGACACTTTGAAAGAGAAGCTGTGGATTTGTGAGCTATGGTTTGGCCCCCCACTTTCTGTATGGCCATATTTAACTGTTTTTAGAGCTTTACACTATACAAACACAGTCATATCCGCTGGACACAAATAAATCGCAGGTGAAATCATGTAGAAGTTTCCCGTTTGTTTTGTGGAAATTACAGATATGTTTTCTCGCACTCTGCTTTGTGGTTTAATTGTGAAGTGTGTAGTTTTTGCACGCATCAGCAAACCGAAAAATAACTGTTTTCTTACAGGTTTCCCGAGCACTGTCTGTCTTCCATTGGGAAGCCAAACAGATAGTCCCACCACCTCGTGCCATTTGTTGAGCTAATGTAGCTGTGCTCAGGCAAATAATGTTGAAAAATGCATATTAAGAAAATATATTTATGATTAAATTGACCCAGTTCACCTTTAAAGCTGCATTGCCTATTCATCATTTATTTGATTTATTTATTTATTGATTGTAAAATCAACATTGAATCGGAATTTGATGATTTTCTGAGTGAAACCTGATAGTGAATGAGAAAAATGTAGGACAAAGAATTATTTTGTTCATCTATACTTAATTTTATTAATCTGAATTTGATTGGATTGTGAAAAGTGGACTTTATTTAAAAGAATGGAACCAGAAGTTTGGGCAAGTGTGGTTTAAAACGGTAGATTATGAAGACAGGCATTTTTTTCCTTTGGAATAATGTGCAGTGCTGAATCGTGCACAGTCTTCTTGTCTACACCGTTTTGTCATTTTGTGCTCTTGAGCTTTATGAGTCTTATGGCTATGATTAGTGTTAAATAACCTTTCATCCTTACATCATTTCTCACAAGATGTTATTTTACATTTCAAATGATGTGAATGTGTAAGTGATTGAAGGTATCTATAGGTGTTGCATATGTACTGTTGTTGCTAGTGCTGGATGCTTTTCTGTCGTGATTCTGTCAAAGGTTTTTCCTTGAGATGTAATCGATTAACCTGTTTTCGCCTGTTTTATATCATGATTGGCCAATATACTAAAATACAGTCCACATCCACACTCACAGTTGCATGTCCATCAGTGTACATGTGCTTGGGAACTGTGTTCATTACATAGTATGTACTTGAAGAAGTCTGTGGGGACGAAGGAGTAGATTTTAAGTGAGACTTTACTCCTCAGATGCTCAGCTCTTACCCTGAGCTGCGATACAGACAGCCTCCATCTTAGAGAGGAAGCGTCTGCATCATATCAAGAAGGATTTTTTGTTTTGTTTTGTTAACGCATCCTTGTAGCTGCTAAACATATGGACAAGGCTGAAATGATGCAAGTGAGATTGAAATGTATGTGACGATGTTTCCTGGCTTCATTACAATTAGAGAGACTCAAAAGGCAAATGGATGCTGTTTTTCTAACTGCTCATTGTCTCATTCATAAAGCCAACCATTACTATAGAGATGATTCATTGATCATTATCGTCCTCAGTCCTCCTGAGATATGAAACTTTACAAATAAATCATGTTAAATGCTGCATATTAAATAGCAGGGGAACTATAATATTCAGTTCCCACTATGCTGAAATGTGAAATAAAATATTATTCTGATAAAATAAAATGTTTATTTTTATCATTGTAGCTATTGTAAAGCAAACATAGCGTATTTTTGTCTCTACTGCATGTACAAGTTTGGAATATCAGATTTATTAGATAAAAAAATATTAATTGAAGAAATAAAGATAATTATTTATTTCATTTCAGTACGTGCAGTAAGTAAATGATATTAATGAGCAACATGCATATTTAATATTGGTTTTGTTAGTCCTATTGTAATCGTCTTAACATGGGCACTGTGTAATTTGACAAGATGGACACTGTATAAAGTGCTACTTACATTTTAACATCCTATGTAGAAAGTCTTCTTTTTCTACTTTTTTCTACTTTAAAATGTATTTTAAACCATTTAAAAAAATCTTTAGTGATTAGTTGTGGAGCATCATTATCATATTGTGTCATATAATATATAATATTTTTACAAATACATTATAAATATTCTAATTTTATTTTTAAGATTAAAAATCAGGGCTCGAATTTTGGCGCGGGATTGCGGGAATTGCGCATAATTCTAATCATTTCCGCAGGTCTCCCATTTATAATGCGGGATATTCCCGCAATCGTAATCCACACAGATTATAAAATCAAATCATTATTTTAACAACTCTCTGCCAGACGCAATTTCACAAACACCGTGAGTGTTCAGCGGTGCCGCGTCTTCTATCTCTTCTCTCACGTATTGCGCAAGGCAAGCATCAAGCGCTGCGGCGATAATACACACTCGCGTTTAGGAGTCGGGACATGACGGAATATTCACTTGCACAATCCAGCCAGCAGTGCATCGTGACTGAAGTTTACCATTTGCACGTCTTTAAGTCTTACCAGTTTAAACATTCAAGCGATTTTAAACTAATCAGTGCTCGTGCGCTCTCTGAGATTATTTTCTATGCGCACATTCATAGAAAATCCGCCTCAAAAACAGCTGACCAGTAACAAAAGTTATTTTTCGCGGATTATATTGCGGTCTTCGTGAGTATACTCTATAATAAGCATAAAACGCACGCCAGTATAATGAACACACTTCACAGGATCCGTGCACTAGCTCTTAAAGTGACGGCAGCCATGTGTCATTAATTTTGTTGTCAAAACAACAAAAGACAGCTTTAAGTTAAAGGAATCACGATTAATAGCCTGTATTTAATTTATTCAGGACTAAAATACTACCCAGTGTTATTTTCCATTTGATTGTGACTTTGTTGTGATTTCCATTTGAAAGTGACTTTATTCAGTTTCTGTATATGAATACTAGTGTTAGACCTATTCAAAAACTTTTCTCTTTATTTGTCTTTATTTGTATCTTTATTCTATTGTATTTAGTTGTGCTACTTTTTTCAATTTAATTAAACAATTTAAATCAAGCTTCCTTGTGTTGTGTAAATTTACAACCCCATTGTAAAAATGCAATGAGCGCAAACATTTAGGCAAGATAAATGTAATAATTTTGTTTGGAAAAAATGATTTTCCCTTTCTCCCCCTCAAACAAAAAAAAATCCCCCCCATGAGAATCATCTAAGGGGGGATTTCCCCCCCATTTTCCCAAACGAAATTCAGGCCCTGAAAATATATATTTTTTTAAGCTGACAGCTGTTGCCATATACAGTATGTCAAGAAAAACAGATTTGCCCAGTATACATGACATTTGGAATTGGGAGATTGACAGTTAATTTGGTTGTTTATTAAAGA